TTAAACTCAGAGCTACTAAAAGAAAATAAAGTTAATGGCAGTATGAAGGATTTGGACCACTCCAGACTTCATAACCAGTGCCCTAAATCACTAGGTTACTTCTCGTTTCCAAGAGAGAACTAACAAAGCATCGTAGGCAAGCAATATGTACAGAACCCTTAGAGTGTATTGTTGGCCTGTGCGACTTATTGCCAATTCCATAATCAACGTAAAAACAACCAGTGAAACACAGGCTCTTCTTTGCTGCAAGATCCTTTTTGTCAAATAAGCCTGATGACTCAATTGCAGATTGAGATGATGGTACTGCATATTGCCGTGCAGACCTAATGGGTATGATTGGGGGATGGACTCCCAAATAAAAATGACAGGGGTGATTAATGTACCTTAATACTTATGTGATTGAATTTATAGATTAGACTCAGTAAATTTAAATGCAAGCGTTCTACCTGAGTAGGAAGGGGGTTGCAGACCCCTCATCTAAACAAACATTATATCATATTATTTCTCTAAAAGAAAAAAAAAATCCTCAAAGTCTGTAACTAAGAAAGTAACCAATGAAAGGTATACAATTTATTTGTGTTCATGGCAACACACCTTGGATGATGAAGAGTGGCATACTTAGGGTGTGTAACGTCAAACTTGCTTGGAGGGCTGCCTTCAGAGTTGATCAACGTAAACAAGAATGCCCTAACAAGAATTAAACAAAACAAACTCAATTGACCTCTTGTTTTAAGGGGGCAAATTTACCAGCTCTGAGGACAATTCTGCCCAGCTGGTTTGATTATCTAGTGGAAAGTTTTTCTTACAAAGAAGTTCAGTTCTAATAGTTTTGCCCACCTGTGAAAACCAGTTGCCCTCCTGCAGTTCAGTCAATATAATCATGATCATGTGCATCAACATTCAACATATTTAAGTATGAAATCCCCAGTGGAAGTCTATAAATGACCTTTAAATACCTTTATTATATGGCAAGCTCTGTGAGTGGGCAAGATGAATCAAATCCTACCCGAGCGAGAAGATGGAGCTATCTTGCCCGTTTGGGACTGCCCGCCATGTCCCGGAAGAAAAATTTTCTCGAAAGCCATATGATAAATCCTTTATTGAACAAGCTTGCTCAGGCAAGATGG